GGTGGACCCGTTTTCACAGGAATCATATGAGGGCGGCTCCGATTCTACCTGCGTGGGAACGCTCCTGAAGCCACATTTTGAGGGGGTCAATGCAGCCCGAGCCAGGCAGAAATGCAACACTTCTTTAGCCTATTCTTCCCTGGATTTCATGCGTCAGTGCACGAAACGGCAAGAGTTTAATCAGAAAGGTATGCCAAACGAAACGACCATTCAAGCACCAAAACAACGACCTGGCGAACTCTCGCATACATTTAAAATGTAGCTGAGCTCTTTGAAAGAAAATTGAGGAAGCATCGGATAGACGTAGCCCACCACCCCGCATCTCCCTTCCGTTCACAGTTTGTACACCCTAAGGACAGGGTTGGCTACCTTGATAGAAAAGGTTCGTCTACAAAATCCCATTTGCAAGTTGTGATGTCTTTTATTATGGCTAAACTGGAAAGCCCGTCCGAACCCACATGCACGAACATCAGTTGGCGGTCAGGAGACAGGACTATTTATTCCAGGTGGCCCTTCACACAATGGACATCGGGCGTAAAATTTCATGCTATAACACAAGGAATGTTGGCACCTGCCCAATGGGAAGATACCATGAATTCCTGGAGGGGATACACTCAGAGGAGGCGTAAATCAATGGGTATATCGATGCGGATGCCACATACGAAATACTCAAGGAGAAATTCAGAAGTAAACAGCCCAGCACGACGGGATTACAAAGGCAGTTAGCGCATATTGACAAAAAGTTGTCTTACAGTAACATCTTTTGTCAGACATGGCTAATCAGTTAATTGTTTTTGTACATTCTCATAGTCTGGAAACGAGCTGAGGAGCGGCACCGAAAGTTTACACATCAGGCTTTCTATTTGCCCAATGAATTTTGTCTCTTGCTTATCATATATATAATCACTGGTTCTACTAAAACTATTAATATACCCAATTGCAACCGACAATACAGCGGACCCGTGCCTCAATGGTCAGGACATCGAACTTCTAACCAACAGGTTCGGGTTCCAGTCTTCGGAGTTATTTATGAAGTACTCGCGAGTTTCACTCTCATAGGTTGCGAAACCTGGATTTGTTCTGGTTTATTTATGGCAGTCACTAGCCCAGAAATGGCCGTTTCGATCGTGTTTGTCTTTGCCAGTAATGTTATTCTGCTTATGATACTTTCCACCTTGCGAATGCTGGCCGGGCTCGAGGACGCATACCAGGGCACTATGTGTAGTCATATTGACAGAAATATATCTTGAAAGTTCGCACTTTAAGGAAGGAATTATGTTGACTTTAAAGAGATATATCGTGCTGTTTTGACTTCCTATTAAGTTAGAAAGAAACTAAGCGATGACCTATACGTAAAAATGAAATGCTTGTGTGATGAACTTCACAACATTCCATATGTTCAGCGGGCACTTAAGCTGTTGTAATATTGTCATCGTGATCCTCTCGCGAAACTGCAGAGCATTGGCTCCATTTGTGTCTACTTTAAAAAGTATGGCTGCCATAGAAATGGATTTAGGGTAGTTCATTAAGTTTCCTAATGCCCACAGCGGCCCAAAGTGTGCTTATTCAGCTTATGTATGGAGTAGACCGAACTTGAAACGTCGGTCGATTAAAGGCCGGAGCCTGAAATTACGCAAACTATTTTGGATAGTATTGATGTAGTCACAAGAGATCTGAGGCGAAACTGGTTGCGTCATCTTTACAGATAATGCTTGCTGTTTTTTTCTTTAGTTTACAAGTAGTGTGGTTAGTTTAACAATTGGGAACCAATTCTTACAAAAACATTTCTTTATTAATTTCCAAGATTACCAAAAAGTAAAGCAACTAGCGTGACATTAATTCACAAGAACTGGAAAAGAGAGACTGGAAATTCCATGGAAGGTCGCCATGACTTTCCCTTTTTGTCAAAATTCGTAGATAAAGCACTTCACACGTCATCATTCTCCCCTACAGTTGTCTCAATCAGAAATTAGACTGCTCAGTCAATGCAATAATTAAAACCATGTCCAAATTTATCTTTTTCACTTGTTCCCTCCTAACGAAAAGCGTGTAACAGGCTGACTGCATTCGTTCGTTCGTTCAAGAAAACCGAAATGGTCTGGAAGTGAGATTGAAAACGACTAGTTCGTTAGAGTCCATAGGAAACCTGCAATTTACGCTGCGGTTTGTCTTCGTTCAAAGCCACAACTGGAGGTTAGTGTATTTTCAAAAAAAGAAATCCTAAGGATAATAAGGAGGAATAAGAAGAAAAGCAAGAGCTATAATCGACGGGATTAAATAGCTCGCATCCTGCCTCGGTGTGTTATTGAGTCACCCGTCCCCCACCTCCCTCCCCACCCAAATAAACCAACCTCCGGTGGTAAGCGCTCTCTACGGAAAGGAAACGTTTTGGGCGAGAGAACTGAAGTAACAGGCCCGTTCTAAATTACGTGTTCGAACAGCTTGCCTCAACCACAGAGACGCATGCACAGTCGGAAAATTATATGCTTCCACAAAAGCGAAGAAATAACTACGCAGGTGGCAGAAAGGAAGGTTGAACAGTAGGCTAAAAATGGAAGAGATGGAGGGGAGCGGGGAGCTGAAGCCTAGTAAAGTTGAATTTTAGCAACTTGCAAATTGAAGCAGGTAAGAAGATTGTTGCAGCAATTATTATCTAATGGCCTAAATGGAAATCCAAGCAAGAAAGTAATCAATAAGATCAAGCAAGAAGGCCAACCAAGAAGTGACTAAAGCGTAGTTGGATTGAAATAACTAAATATACCGTGACATAACGGGATCCTCAACCTTCCCCCAGTAGCATTATTATGTTTTTCCGGATGAGATTAAAATACATCATTTGAAGTAGTTGTAGAAAACTGGGCGGCCTGAGTAGGATTTAAACGCACGATGCAGTAGGTTGGACGGATAACTTTACTAAAATAGGCTTAGAATCACGGCTTCTGGTAAGACCTCGCAACGCCAGAGCGTTTGCTTCACAAAATACTTATTTTTCACTAACTGAGGCAAAGACTCGCATCCTAGGTATGTGGATAGATTGAGAGGAAAAAGCTGTATCGAACACCGGGATCATAGTTTTATTATTCTGAACTTTCGAACTCCATATCTCTGGCGATGGACTCCTGTAGGAGTTCGAAAGCTCAGACTAATAAAACTATGATCCCATTGTTTGACACAGCTTCTTCCTCTCAACCTAGATTTATTTTTGCTGTCCTGGGTTAAAATCCCATTAAGGTCAACAATATTTTCAGAACCAGGTCAAAGTAATAAGTGAACTAAAAACTAACATTATTGAACATAAATTAACTAACAACTTTAAGCCACTTACGCCTTAGGTGCGTCCTGTTTGCTTTTCAGCTGTTTGTCTTTGGCTACTGTAGGCCTCAGAACACACGAACTCTAAAAAAGGCAAAGTAACAGTAAACGCCTGCGGGGAATATTGGATCCGCTAGTGGAAACAGGCTGAGGGACAGTGTTCGGTATTTAGCCTCTCATGTGAAATTAAGAGATACGGGTGCAGTGGGAGAACAATTGGACTGTGGCTCCGAAATAGGAAAGTGACTTGGCGTTTGGGATGGGCAAAACCGCAGACAGCTAAGAAAGTACAGGAGGCACAACATTTTACCGGATGGAGTCGATAGGCTACCGAAAGCCTGTTGATTTGAAGACCTCATTCCATCCATCAGTTGCTGCACCTATGTCGCCGCTGCTTCAAACAGAGACGATAAATGCCTGCCTGAATATTTCGGATCCGTTGATTTCTCAATCTTAATCGCCAGGCTGATTCCTAAGAAGGGTATTCGAAGCAATGTTCTTTCATATGTAGCCCATGCGATCAAGACAAATGTCGAATGAGGTATGCGCCAGATGGAGCCTGTGTGCCTACAAAATGCCTCCGAACCGGAACACTATGGCCTCATTGGCCTACGACTCGTGCGATCGTCGACTTTTGCAAGGAGTTCCATCCATATCTGATTGGGTGAACTGAGATAGCATTTGAGCTGCCCGCATTCCCATCCACCGCTGCTATAAATTGGACCAACTGCGTCCAGGGTAATTTTCTACTGTCTCTGATGTAGTTTGTCAGCAACCCTACCAGATCGGTAGATGATTGGCAGCATCCTTTGTCTTACCGCTGAGTGACTTTTCCTCTGCTGGGACCTCTAACAAATACGGCATGCAAATATATTTTACAGACAATCTATGCACGATATTATTTCTTGTAGTCATTTGGTACCACGTCGTGCCTTCTTAAAATTGTGTACTCAAAGAAAAGAAAAAAAATTTCGCCACAGTTTGTAATGCTGCAAGTTTTTTGAGACCACGATATTTCAATTCAAATGATATGACCCAAATGCGTTAAGCTATATCCTTTCTGCAGTCTACAACACTAACTGTCCATATGGGAAAATTATGAGCAAAAGCCCCAAAAGCCATCCCCATTGTGAACCATAAACGCAATCGCAACGGCAAATCGATTAGAGCATTACTCAGTAAGTATAAAACACTTGAGAAGAGGTGGTGAGCTTTTAGGTAGATAAAAGAAGGATAAATATGTGTCCGTTCCCTGTAAAATGTAGTTATAGTCATAATGACATCGAAAATCAGAGGGAAAAATGCACATTGCTCAAGCGATTCCTGTGCATCTTGTTTATTATTTTTGGCAGGAGTTTT